ATAGATAGATAGATAGATAGATAGATAGATAGATAGATAGATAGATAAAACAAAAACATAAAACCATACATCAGTCCTCATTTATCTGGGATATCTCATTATTTTCTACTGAATTTTCTACTTTGAATGTATCCCCAAAACAAAACAAAATACAAATTCAAGAGCTACAAAAGTCTTAACAGGACAGTGAACTCCATCACCAGTAAGATGAAAAACCAAAAATAAATGTTTAAATAGAATAACTTACTGTCAACTTCATCTGGGCTTCTTGTTCTGTTTGGGGAAAAATGAAATGATTTAGAAAATGCTGTTTTAAATCTTTCAACCAACAAAACACTGAAAATTATCTGAAACAGCAATAAAGTGTGTGTGAGAGAGAGAGAGAGACATGTGTATAAAAGTCTCTGCTCCATCTTATTCCTATTTTACCAATGGAGAAGTTTGTAGCCATACAATTATTTTCATAGAAAAATTAATGCCAGTAAGGCAAGTAAACCACTTATTATCTGTGCCCCAAGCTAACTGAGAAATGGTAGTGTTAGTGGTTTTAATTAGCTGTGTGATCACACAACATACATAAGATTTAACTGTGTCTGTGTTGTTCTGGATCAATTAAACTAAAGGGTGCCTGAACTATGCAAAACAGATGCCTACAAATGAGTCTGAGAATGTCTCTGGACAAGCCCACAAATCAGTTTCATTAGCCCACGTGGCCCCTAAATGTTCACAGGCTGAAATTAGCTCTCTTTAAATTGTCACTTGCCCTGCTCAAGTGCACAAGTGGCCACGGGCAAGTCTGAATAAATGCATTCAAAGAATATCTCCAGTATTTAGGGTCCTTGGGGAAGAAAGTACAATTACAATTATTGTTTAATTTCATGCTGCAATAACCCACCACTCTGCATGAGCACAAACTACTGAACCCTTGAGAGAAGAAAGTGATGTGTCCTTTAGGTCTAGAAGCAGGCTTACATGGGGCTGTGGTGGCAGGTCCCAAGAAAGGCCATGTCAACAGAGCTGAGGACCATAACTGAAAGTAACCTTCTACCTTCCTTTTATCAGAAGGCCTTCCCATGGGGTAAGGGCCCTCTATCCCTATGCTGTGTGGATACTTTGATGCTGTAACCAGAGAAGTGTACACACACAAAGTGGAAAGGACACATCACCCCAGCGTAGTACCAAGCAGCTGTAGCAGCTAACTGGAACACTGAAACAGGAGGAGCACTTGAGCCCAGGAGTTTAGAGCAAGCCTGGGCAGCAAAATGAGATCACGGTTCTTGAAAAACGTGGAAATAAAATAGAATCATCTTTACTTGGCTCGGGTTTCAAATTTCATTATTCCTAATAAACAAAATTCAGGAATGTACTCTATTCTACAACCAGATTCTCCCGTTCCCATCTTCTCTCTCCGTGTCTCAATCTTGTCAGAGTAAATGCCTTGATAACTACAATGCCGCTGAACACCAGGAACTAAAGATCAGCCTCATTCTGTAAAAGCTGGGGAACGGCTTCTGAAATCGAGAGAACAGGCCTGGAGTGGCAGAGTGGTGGTGAAGGGCACTTGTTGCTCTTGCAGAAGACAGGTTCAATTCCAAGCATCCACCTGGCTGATCATAGCCATCTGCAACTCCACATGTAAAGGATCCCACGCCCTCTTCTGGCCTCCATGAAGATTGAAGACACAACATAGGTACATGCACGCCACTCACTCACACACATTAAATAAAAGTAAATAAATCATTTCTAAATATGGAGAATAAATTTAATCAGGCCTTTGGATTTTTTAAAGACAAAACAGATGTGGTTTTTTTTTTAATTTAAAAATACATGTATTTTACTCTGTAAACCGCATTCACATTCTTACCTATCTGAAAGATGTAACAACCAATCCATGAATGGGTTTTTTGATACTACAGAGGAATTGTTCACTTGCTGTTGACGTGTTTGCTTTATCACAGCATTCCTAAGGAAACTTTGGTGAGCAACTATTACCAGAAACTAGAAAACTTAGAAGATTTTTTTTTCCATTCTTGGCAGTTTAACAAAAATAATGTCACTTCGCTTGCATTTTTCTTCTTCCTATTTGACCAAACTAAACCTTCACTTCCTAATCTGCATGGAAAACAGAATCCAAAAGCTCTTGATGATAGTCACATAGAAATACTCACTGAAATTGCCTGTTGAGGCTGGCGCTCCTGGAATTACACGAAGGGTTTTCATCCGGGTCCTGAGCAGAAGGGAACAGACATTACAATTGCACTCAGCACACCCAGCCCATACTTCCAGTGACTTGCCAGCAAAGCAAACTCTTTTTCCCTCTATCTGGCTCAGTATCTCTCTTTTAATAAACAAGGGAAACACAAGCTGGTAAGATTGCATGCATAATGTCAGCAGGTAATCTGGGTACCTCCGTAGCTGACTGTTTTAACCGAATGAAATTAATTTTATGGAGACATTGAGAGGAAAATACAATAAATCAAAATTTTTCAGAAAAAAGAATTAATCATTAATGGTCTGAAAAAAAGGAATGGAGGGCCAACTTAGCAGATATAGAATAAGTCTTATTGTCAACTTAATACATTAAGAAATGTCTAGGGGGCTGGAGAAGTGCCTCAAAGGTTAAGATGACTGCTCTTCCAGAGGTCCTGAGTTCAATTCTCAGCAACCACATGGTGGCTCACAACCATTTATAAGGAAATCTGGTGCCCTCTTCTGGTGTGCAGGCCAAACACTGTATATGCAATACATAAATAAATCAAAAACAAAAGAAAAACAAAACACAAAGCAAAGCAAAACAAGAAAGAGAAGGGAAGGGAAGGGAAGGGAAGGGAAGGGAAGGGAAGGGAAGG